TTTTTTGTTTATTCTTCGTAGTTTTCTTTTTTTTTAAAAGGTACTTTAAACTGTATAAATAATGTAAAATTAAATTGGTTTAAACAAGCCAATCATACGAATGTCTGCCTATGAGTTTAAACGTGGTATCAGACGGCGACAAGTGATTGGCTTAGATCGTGTCGCGAAGCGGCACGATCTGAGCCAATCACCTGTCGCCATTTGATACCCACGTGCATATTTTTAACCCTATCCAATAGCGAGAAGAATTCGGCACAAACACTTTGTGCAAGAAAATTTTTTATACATAAATGTTACTTTATTTTTTGTGCATTTGCACAGTGTATTGTTAATTTTGTGCAAATAACAATACGTGCACAACGAATTTTTAAATAGCTTAACCCGTGACACTATATATCAAATGTATAAAATTGGTCAATCACGATATACTTACTCCCTTAATGTTTATTAGCTATTCTACAACGCGAACAATACGAACGTATTTTGACGAAGTTATCGTTGACGAGTGGTCATACAAGGGATTTGTAAAATATGGAGTAAAATTTGGTCTATATGACAAAAAACGCGTCTGCAATTACAAATATAAAAAGTGTTTAGAAGATATTGAACGAAGTTATAGCTCTTTAGACAAAGAAATATTAAAGGCATCATCATTAAAGAAATCATTTAAGGTTAGTTTTTTTCTTTGTAAAATGGCAATATGTTCTGTTATATTAAGTAAAATTGATACTACAGGGTGCTCTGCGCGCCATTCCAGGTTTTCTCGATACATTTTTAACAGTTTGGACATAATTTTTTTTTATTTCGTACATAACTAATTTATTGCGTCTTTTACTTCTATATTCAAGTTTGACGTAAAAATGGAACGAGATCAGTTGAATGAGCTTGATGCTCTGATGGAAAATGAGGCGATTGAAGAGGTGATCACAATATTATTATATCAATATATTGACTTTTCAACTACTAAGTACATAAATTTAATGATGTAGTATTCGTACCGAGCTACATTGAATAATCATGTGCGAGAAGAAAAAAAACTATATTCTAAACAACAACTAGAGTCACGGAAGCGAGATTGTGTGAATATCCAATTTAACTTTATATTTGCAATTTTATATAGTATTTTTATTTTTATTTTTATTTTTTATTTAGAATTCTGCCTTTCCAGAAAATAGTCATGATTCTGACTCTGATAATCGCAATAAAGGATCTAAAAAACAATATATGTAAGTTTCTCTAGATCATCTTTGGTGGATATTTGTTGATAATGTACCATTCATTTGGATCAACAAGCTAACTAAAGATGCCAAAATGATCACTATTAGGTCTGAACTAAAGCAAGATAATTCGGACAAAGAAAGTAGGGTATGATAAAACTTTTAATTAATTTAATTCTATTATTATTTAATACGAAAATTATACTTATAAGTTGTTTGGTTTTTAATGGATTACAATTTTTTTTATTTAGGATGACAATACGGATTTCTACGATAGTGATAGTTCAACTAAGAATGTATCAACAGAGATTAAAAATCTCATTATGAAGATGAAAAATGTGAAAAATGATAATCGTCTTTTTGAATATCGGATCGCTAATCTTTCAGAAAAAAATCAAGCTGATCCGATAAACCAAGTTTTCACAAACAATGATAAAAAATTTATGAAAGCGCTTTGGAAAGAAGTATATATTTCTTATTATATTAACTTTAAATTAAATTAATCGTTAATTTAATTATGGATGGAACCATCATCCTTTGAAAACAAAATACATCCCGAAAATTAAAGTGGGAAGAGGATATAAAACCGCAAATCAAAAAATATACACAAGCCATTAAAATAAAAACTGAGTTGATTTTTAATGATAACAACAATGGGACATCACCCAATGTCATTTTTGAAGCACCATTTGAGGACGAATTTAATTACAAAAAACATTATGAAATGATTTGGACACGGGACATATATCAGCGATTGTAAGTTGCCTAAAATCTATTATTTAGTATATACAACATAATTTTATTCACATGTTTCTTTTCAGCATATGCCTGTTCAACTCTCCCTTCAATATTCTTCGTGATTTTTGTACATCTGAATTAGCATATAGGGATTCATTCGTAAATCCTATAATCCCAAAGATATTTGATGATGTGAATGATAAGATAAGATTTCCAGTGTACGTTATTATTGGCCAGTGTAAAAAGATAGATACCTCAAAACTATAATTAAAAAGTACTACTAATAAAAGTTTTTAAATTATTA